CCGTATACTCGAAGTGTCTTGCGCCTCCTCAGTTCCAACAAGATGCTTTGCGCTCTGTCACAAACGATACACCTCGCGACTACACACCTCCGCTTGTGCATGCATCTGCCTGCTTAGCATACGCACGCTTCCTTTTAGCGATTTATGCATCAGGCGGCTGGAATGCAGAGGCATTTGACCAAATGTTGTTTGGCGGCGTCCCTCCTCCCTTAGCCGTCTATCCCCCGCCTAGTCACACTGAGCTTTCCGCCAATTCTGGGGTATATCGCGATGAAATTGCATCCGCTGCATGTGCAACGTTGACTCCGGCTCTCGGAACACTTTCTGCTAGTGATCAGATCGCTATACTCAGTGCCATCTCCAAGATTCTGAGCTTGATTGGATACCTCAGACGTTTCACGCATGTTGTGCGGCAACTGAACGAAGTGGTATTCGCGGTTCTTGCTCGTTCTTTCCAAGCCAAGCCTCAGGCAGCGGGATCCGCACCATCGATCGACAATCTTATGCAGGAGGCTCTCCGCAATCGCATACCCACGAAAGACTCCAATTTCGAAGCTTCTCTGGACTTTGTAGGTATCCATGACGCAGCCAATCCAGCATTGGTACTAGGGCTTCTTGCGTGTGATACCTACGGCATCGATCTTTTAACTTGTCCAATCGTCAATGTCTCGAGCTCACATATACTAGAAAGAGCTAGACGACGCATCGTGGCTGAACGATATGCGAGCTTTCTTGACTCGAAAATCCGAAGCCCTCTGGCTGAAATGCGTTCTATACTCCCCGCCTTAGCAGTAAGTGCCGAAGCAGCTCAGCTGCAGAAGACTGCATTTGGATGGACCTCGTTGCAGGTGCAATTATTGAAAGACCTCGTGGTGCAGAGCGAAGCTCTAGCCGACCATGTATCAATGGTGTATTTTGCATCGCTGCTCCTGCGTGACTTTCAGGAGCTGCTTTCCTTAGAAGATCACGCAGCTCTTCTTGCGGGCCTGCGTCGTGTTATTCCACTTGCAAGAAAGCGACAGCCAAGCTTAAAACTGCGTTACTGGGGCCCAAAACAACTGCTTGTCGCTTTAGAGGTGCTTCCTCAGCCAAGTGTACGTGCCACCATAAACCGAACTCGCACATCATTTGATCCTCCCAAACCAGCAGACGACTCTCACTTACCTCCTGGTACTTCCAATCCTTTTTATTGGAACTCAGGTAAATCAGAAAAGTCTCAATCAACGCCTACATTCGTCGCACAGGAGACATGCACGGTTCTTGTAACTTTGCAGAACCCACTTGGAGTACCTCTACCTATCGAGTGTATCAGTTTAGCTATTGCTGGGTTGCCCGTAGAGACGAAGGTGACATCTGTCACCGTCCCAGCACGAGCTCTGCATACTATCAGGATGGAATTCGTTCCGTTAGAATCCGGAACACTCACCATCAATGGTTGTCATGTCGAGTTGTGGTGCGCCGAGTCACGTATGCTAGCGATCGCGTCCAAAAGTAAGAGTCAAGATGCTCTTGGGAAGGACACCGTAAACTCGAAGGCGACAGGCTTGAACAAGCGTCATTCAATCGCATTGCTCACTACGATCGTTAATGCCGCTGCTGCACGAGCGGAAAATAGCTCGAAAGCAGCCGATGACCGTACTTTGACAGGTGAAGATGTTGATCAATTACTTTTTGCATCCGATCGCACTATGTCAGCAGAATGCAAAGTGACTGAGCCAATGCCCTTGATGGAAGCATCTTTCTCGCCGGCGTACGGCATGGTTACGACGTTGCAAGATGGAGAGGAGATGATATTGCCTATTCGGTTGATCAATCGGTCTATGCAGAAAGTCAGCTTCATTCGGTTCGAGTTCGAGGACAATCTGCAGAGACCTAAACGAGCGGCAATCGCTAATGAAGAGCTTCTCGCTGGAGATGTGAATGAACTAGAGTGGCAGCTACTATATCAACCCGTGCTTCAAGTTGACGCTGATGTTCGCAATTTGCAACTTATGCCCAACGCCTCCTGTATTGTCCCGCTGAAGGTTAGAGGAAAACAGTATTGCACATGGGCAAACGTAAAGATCTTTTATGGTACTCCACCAGCAGACCGATCAATGATTTGCTTGCGTACAACACAGATATCGCTGCCGATGTCTGTACTTCCTAGCATTACTTGCGAAGCGCTGACTTTCCATTCGGCTCAAACACAAAATGCTGAGAATTTGGCCGCTGTATTGAAGCAGACTAGCTCCGTACAGCTAGGTCCTAGTTGTCTAATCGGTCTCGATTTGAGGAACAACACTTCACGCTTGATGACCGCCATCGTTAATGCAGATGCCGCGCCGAACGTCTCGATCGAGATCCGACAAAACGTCTTACCATCTAGCTCGATCCGTATCACTGTCCCTATGGCCAAGCAGAATCTCTCGTCAGAGGAACTCAATAAACCTATACCGAAACTATCTCCACGCCAATTCGTGGTAGCGCGCACAGTTCTTTCCGACGCGATGCAGTCCGCGTACAATGCTCAATTCTGGCTACGTGATGCGTTATTGCGCAGCTTAGATGTGCGCTGGGAGGACTGTGTATCTGCTGCCACTGGCCAAGTGTCTTTACGAGACCATTGGCCATCAATGGATGATGTACGCATCTATTCACGGCCCAAGGTGCAAATCAATTTGCATATGCCTGAAACACATATTCACCCTGAAACTATGGTCGATTTGCGCGTGGAAGTGACGAATCTTACCGAGGCTCCTTTACGTCTTCGGTTGCAAATCCATCCCATGGCAGAGACCGATTTGGGTGAAGGTCGTGCTGCTAGCTATGTGGCATCTCAGATCTTGCTAGCCGAGGGCAGCTGGAGTCAAGCTGTGCATCCTAGTCCTTTGCAGCCGAACGACACAGCATACCTGCGTAAAACTCTCTGTTTCCTATCGTCCGGGGCCTTTTCTCTGCATGCCACCGCCGAAGTCCTTTCAGACATACCTGAATCACCCTCTGTGGTATTCCCTAGTACCCCTCTTTCGGTCTATGTAGCATAATACCATTTCTCTTTACGCTGTCTATCACGTGGATCTCATTAGGTTCCTTGAAACGATTCAAAGATGCAGCGGTCCCTGAGGCAAATAACATCTCATACATCTACCAAGCTTGTTCAAAGCAAGTCAGCTAGTACACCAAGTAGTAGAAGCAGTGACCTGGACAGATTATCGGGTAGCTCGCAGGAGTCAAGACCGTCGCATGTTCTGCCGCCACCAGTCCGTCATCGCAAACGTATACTGAGCTTGGAGGTAGCGAGCAGTTCGCCGACACCCGCATTGGAGCCAAGCACAAAGCGACTATGTAAGAGTGTAGTGCGAGTCAATGGCACGTTTTCTCCAAAGCCACCTATTCCCCGCCGTCGATCGCACTTTGCGTCTGTGCACGGACCACGTACGCCCTCTTCTTCGCCGTTCGAACGCATAGGTCGCTCAAGACTGCATGGCCACACATCCGCTCGGAGTCCAGGGAGTATGTGGTCTCCGCAAACTGGCGGGTATGTGCCACCTTCTTCGCCACCTTCGATCTTGGTGTCACCCCCCACGATGGATATCGAGGCAGTCATAGCAAAAAGCTCTCGCAGCAATACTTTGCTTCGTGGACCATATGTTCCTCATGAATGGCAATTTGCCTTCGTAGGAACGTTGCTGGCGCGTGACCAGGTGGCTATGCACAAACTCAGATGGCAACTTGACCTTGCTTTCGCGACACTGGCGTGTCAACCGATTGATGATGACACGCTTACCCTACACCCTCACCTTGCAACTCGACTAGCTCAGCAAGCCGCACGACAAACAGTCTCGGTACTGTTGCGCGCATGGCAGCCTAGCAATGCGGCAGAATTCATGTATAGCCCCCCCAGCTTTAGGCTCTCATCCATCACACGCGAGGCGGTGAGCAGCTCAAAGAAGAGTACAGCTCACGCATTGTGGGCGTGCCATCTTTCAGCAATGCTCGGTGCTGAGATTGCTCAAAAAATCGCAGCTCATATTGTACAGACTTTATGGTACATGGCAACCAGGTGGGTAAAATATGCTGATAGAGCGATCGACGCCGCGCATTTGCACGACCTTTGCTTTTGGCTAAATATTGCACAGGGCTAGTCGAACATTTGCGTCGTTGGGAAGCACAAGAAACGGGATCTGACTCGCGCAAACTGATATTTGCGCCGTCTGATAATTCTTCTGTTCATCCGCATTCCATCTCGACATCCAAAGCAATACGTCAGTCGGTTCATTCGGCACTTTTACAGGAATTCCAAGATGCACAACAATCTCGGCAACAATCCAGATATGATACAGCTAAGCTAAAGGTCCCTAATAGGAGACTTAGTACCTTGCCAAGCAAGACCTCAGACAATCAGGATCGCAAATTACAAGGCAAAACCACCGTGGACGCAGCGCGCTTCCTAGGAGAACTTTTCCGCGAGCATACATTCGTTGACCAATCGATTGTCGTCAGTTGGCTCAAGAGTCTCTTGCTTGAACCCAGATCCTGGGTCGATGTTCCTTTCTATGACTTAGAAGCCGCATGTGCTTTACTTCTATTGATTGGGCCGCATTGGGACGCAGGAACGGCGCAACACGGAACAGTCAAAGAGCATAGTGCAATGAACATAACTGATTATGATCAGGATAGATCTCAGAAAGAGCACGACATAATCCAACTTAGTCTTAAAAAATTACAAGAAATGGTCGAATCTCACATTTTGCCCGATATGACCAAAAATTGGGTTACTGTAAGTCATTCGCTGCTCATATGCATTCAGGATGTGATTCATGCTGGCCGTAATCATTGGCGCTGAAGTGTAGGCTACGCTTTGCGTGCCTCTGAACGAAAAGCCAATACCCTTTTATTTAGTGTTTTTCTCAGTGATGAGGCTTGCGTCAATGGATCGATTCTGTATAGCCAGACAATGGTGTTCTCTAATGATAACGATTTACATACATATGTTGATTAGCTCCTATCACCAGTTCTCCTAGTTAGTACAACGGTTAGTATATGTCGCTCTCACTAGTCCACAAGACTGTGGAGCGCCGACAAGACCCGGGTTCGACTCCCGGATTGGGAACATTTTTTTTTGGGCCTGGGCAGTTGCCCGATTCTACTTTAATCGGGTAATCCTCTGGAAGCATAGACAAAGCGGTCCATGCGAGATTGGCTCAGCTCGGGCTTGAACCGATTATGGTCAAACCGACACACTCTTTTTGGGCTTGGCTTCGTTAGCGGTTTGATTGTGGGCTTGGGCTCCTTAGCATTCGCTAGGTTACACAAAACCCTGCTCCGCACTGTGTGGAATCCTCGACTGCCGCGGCGATGGAGTGCTAAAAAATTGGGCTACGAGTCTCCTGAGCTTTTCCAGCCTGTGGAATTAGTGCGTAGCGGAAGGATTGTCGATGGAATAGCCGGGACAATAGGTATGCACGATGGTGACTGACTCAAGGGAATACGCCGCTGATCAGAATTAATAGTCTATCTGAGCTGACTGGATGTGAGATTTTAGGCAAAGCAGAGTTCCTCAATCCTGGGGGCAGTCCAAAAGACCGCGTTGCTCTAGAAATAATAAGTCAGGCAGAAGAAAGTGGTGAACTGGTTCCGAACGTCGGATCCTGGATCTTCGAAGGTACAGTCGGGTCCACGGGAATATCAATTGCGATGCTAGCGCATGCAAAAGGGTACAATTGCTGCATTGTAAGTGTTTCAACTCACGTAGGTCGTACCTGATGATGTAGCAGAGGAGAAAGTCCAACTTTTGAGGCGACTCGGTGCTTCAGTAGAGATGGTTCGTCCGCGCGGGATTGTTGACCCTCGTCATGTGTGTATTTTGCCAGCTTACCAAGTTCGTCAATGAAGCGAGAGCGCGAGCATCCGCCTGGAAGCCCGACGCACATCAACCCTATGCGCGTGCCTTTTTTGCGGACCAATTTGAGAGCGAGGCAAATTTCTCGGCTCATTACAACCACACAGGACCAGAAATCTGGGAGCAAACAAGCGGAAGACTTGATGCATTTGTATCTGGCGCAGGAACTGGTGGAACTATCTCGGGTGTCGCTGCTTATCTTAAACGTCAAGCAAGCGAGCTGGAGGATGTATCTGAACCCATTGTCGTTGCAGCTGATCCAACAGGTTCTGGAGTCTACAATCGCGTCAAGTATGGAGTGCTTTACAATTCTACTGAAGCGGAGGGTACGCGTCGACGACACCAAGTGGACAGTGTGGTAGAAGGCATTGGATTGAATCGACTCACACGAAACCTTGATATGGGTTTACCATACATCAATGATGCTATCCAAGTTACGGATGATGAAGCCGTCAGGATGTCTCGATACCTTGCCTCTCATGACGGTCTATTTCTCGGGTCTTCGTCTGCTGTGCACTGTGTTGCAGCTGCGAAAGTTGCGCTTCGTTTGAAGTCCGAGCGGACGTCTTTGCTCTCAAAAAACTCTGCTGATGATGATCATCAAAGCCCAACGACAAAATCTGATGGGGTCGAGGATGAACGACGTCCTGTAGTAGTAACTGTTCTGTGTGACTCTGGGTCTCGACATCTATCCAAGTTTCAAAACGATGAGAAGATGAAACAAAGAGGATTAGAGGTCTCGGATAATATAAGTGATATTCTTGGAGCGGCGATCGTCCCCCATGCTATCTAGGTAATTTTCTCCCGGAATTACACAAGCGTATTCGGAGTGCTGCCCTCTTTGTGAGCAAATGCTGATGCTCCGCAAGTCTAGACTCCAACTCTTGGACTGCATCTTCTAATATCGATAGCTCCCCTGACGTTCCCTGTCTATTATCCAAATCAAATTTATTACCATCCTGCTCTTCGTGTCTTTCACGGCGATGTGCTGGAAGGCACTCACTCAATAATTCGTAACCTTTCCGAATATTTGCACGTCGTCGCTGTTCGGAAGCTATATGGTTTGCTTTTTTCTCCTTTTCGCTCAGCAGACCATTCGCATTTGACCGTCTCTTTGCAGCGCGCATGTCTTGCAATTGAGTCAGTGCCTCGGGATCTCCTTCTTCGATACGTCGCTGAAGATCTCTTTTCCGTTCACGTAAGAGATCCAAATGTGGCTGGTATTTAGTGTCGGGTCTATCAGAAAGTTTCTCCATGACATTTACTTGCTCTTCTCCATATCTCGTGAGGTTCGCATTGTATGATGGTATATACCCCGCAGAAGATGGCCTTTGTTCCATGGTTTCGTCAGTACTCAGTGAACGACGGAGCGGAATCGCTAACTGGATCGGTGAAGGGCTCCTTTGACCTAGCATCATTTCAAGTGGTGGTATACGAGCGGTATGCGGGCTGGAGTGCCGAGAAATATACGTTCGCTCACTAGGACCAGGCATGGATTGGTCGACACTGTGATGGCGCTGCTGCTCCGAGTGCAAGAACGAGATCTGCTGTGATCTCCAATTTGGGTCTTTTCCGTATGCCGATTTCACATTATTGCTTAGTAGCTGTGTCCTCCTGCGCTGCGTAGGAGGAAGATTAGATGTATTCATAGCATTGATCAACGGATAACTTCCATTGGGTCTTGACCGGAGCAGTGCGAGCGAGTCCTTTCGGGGTTGCGAAGTGATTAGGTACGGCAGCGGCGATTCAAACTGCGGATGGGATAACACATCGTACTGATCCATATGCGAAGTCCAGTGCATACGCAGCTTTTCTAAAGCAGGTGTCTCCATCCGCGGCAGGATATCTCTCCTGCCTTGGGAGTCATTATTCCTTGCGTCCCAATCGCGATCAGGGCTTACTTCAGGCTTAGGCGTAAGCCGGTTGTTGGGTCGGTCGCCTTGCGCACCCATCTGCCTAACTTCCCTGCGCGCTTCTAAAAAGTTGAACGTTTCTACAGAACTAATGCGGGGTCGAGGTGATGACTAATCGAAGCAAATCACAACTATCTCAACATCCCGTTTGGGAATTGGTAGGCCATGTATTGGTCTTCCCGTTAGTAGTCCCCTGAACGTATTTCGTGAGATTGTTATTCATGTAGAGATCCTGATGCCGGCTGATATAATCACTGGTAGGGTGGTCTGACGGGCTGCAGGATCGGCGAGAGTCAGGGGTTCCTTGTTTTTGGTAGACACGCTGCAAGTCAGATAATATAACTTACAATGTAATCGAACTTCATTGTGGCAGGGAAGTTTACACCTTGTGTGCCTCCATTGAAATCTGCTGTAAGAAAACTTTAATACATACTGACGTATTGGAAACCGCTGGCGATTCCCAAGTTCATAATGATCGACATAGGCTCTTTGGACACGACACGCTTCCCGATCTCTGCTGCAGTATTGGCCGTGAGTGCTCCTTCGTTGATGGTCCAGGAAGGTACTCCATTGGCATAGAAGGTAATGTAGCCGCTACCCGTGTTATTCCAATCAGGTTCGTATTCCATACCGACGATATTATAATTTGGAGTGGTGGCATTCTCAAATGAGTTATCGTCAATTCTGGTAGTCGATGACATGGCCTCTTGCGTCACTCCTCCTGACCAAGTATTTCTTGCAGTGAGGTCCGTGTCATAGATATGATAGCCGCTTTTATTGGTATACCAATTGTAACCACTGTCGAATGGAGCAACTTGATAGGACTGCGACGCAAAGGAGCCTTTTTCACCGTCTACAGTTTGCACTTGTAACTCTAGAATATCAATTTCTGGTGCACTTCGTGCCACCCCATTGTTTGGGCCTGGATGATCTTGACCCTTGCATGTACAAGCAGAGGATCGCATACCTGGGAGCTTCGAGAGCTGTTTTCCCTTATTACTGTGTAACGCTGCATAGGGTCCACGGCCGTCTAAATCGGTCTGATTAGGGAGAATGCCAATGTCGCATTGCTCATAGACGTAAGGCCACATCCCATCGGCTGAGGCTAGATAACCAGGTCGAGCCAAATTCCCCATTGTCCAGAAACCTGGCCAGTATCCTTGAGTCTGGGGACCTCCTGGGAATTGGATGGAAGCCTCGATATATCCGCCTTGGAAACAGAATTTGTTCCATGACTGTACCATGCCTGACCGGAAATATTGACCGCGCTCGATCTGTTCCTCTAGGGTAATTTGCAGTACACCTCTTCCATCCGCATCAGTAGTAGTATTTACTGCCTCTGGTGTATACCATTCGAAATCGAACGTGGCACCATACCAAATATTAACCGCTTCCCAATAAGGGTCATCTCCAGGCCAGAATGTTCGGCCTGGAGTTTCGAATTCGTCGGAGAATACAAGGTCATACAAGCTACCGTCCTGAGGACTGGTTCGCGTTCGATTGCTCATAGGTGTTTTATCGTCGATCAAGCCACGAATTGGCATTTGGTCTACTTGGGGGCTGGCTTGCAACTGGGTGTTTGGATCCACTTTGCCGTACAAGTTATCAAAGTGCGCATACAAAGGGTATCCGATAAACAGCATCATCAATGCGGCTGTAATAAGGACCAGTGTGAGCACATTCACACATCCTCGCCAGCTAGGGTACCTTGCATGTTTATTTGGGTTCTTGTCGGGAATATGGAGATAGTCATCTGGTTCAGCTTGCATTGGGTGGAGTACGATTGTACCTTTATGCGGTACGGCGCTGTTCCTCACGCTGTAAGGACGCGGTCGCTTTCGACTGGCGCTATCGGGGGTTGGATAGCCTGCCGATTTGGGAGACATACTGTGCCCCGTTGCAAACGATTGATCAGGAATCGACAAAGACGGGCTTCCTCGGTTCTTCTGTCGGCTACTTAATGGGGTCGATGCCATAATACTCGCTGGCACTTGAGGTCGCAACGGTTCAGGAGGTGAATCAGTAGTACCGCCTCGATTCCGATGACCGCGCAAATTCGGTTGAGGGGAGGTCCCTACATCGATAGTCAAGTCTGCTGCTCGCGAGTTGCGCCCATGTCCAGGAGTCAAAGGAACAGCTCTATAGGGTTGTGCCATGAGCCACTAGGTATCGACGACTTAAAGTTGTCAGTTTGTGCCCGCTCAAAGGTTGGAGTGTGACTGTGGAGGGTTACTTGATTGGTGCTCTGCTGGGTGTTTTTTGGCGCGTACGTCAGCTGACTGGGCCGGACTTCCGTGG